TTCTCGTCCATAGATTCTTAAATCAATACTTTCATCACATCACCCTCGGCTCGCGCAAGTCAACTACTTCACGCTACTTCGAGATCGTGGTGCATTCTCGCTCTAACATAGGATTCGGCAATTCATAACGTGTTTCTATCCCTCATGTTAGGCGTGACATTTGCCCGCCAACTGCCTTCTCTATTTTACTAAGTATGATTGAACCCAAAAGAGTACCATTTTTCTTGACTCTTGATATATCGAATGTGATACTGGAGCTAATAAGCATGTAATGTGACATCCTTATCATGACATCGTATCCCTATTGGGAAATTCGGGAATATTGTACAAATACAACAGTTGATGAAGATCGTGTTTGTGCAGTAGGGACCCCGGCCTAAATTAGGAAGCTTGGGGGGATGCGTGTGGGGTTGGATGTACGACAGAGAGACAAAGCCAGGGCAAATGATATTCGTCCGGGTCACAATAAGCTAAATGACCGGGTCACAAGCCTACTATACCTATATCAGCGCTTGGCGTATACTTAGCATGTATTACACTGGGGAATAAGGTTTTCTTTAAATATATCTATAGGACCCTTACCCTATCCCTAACCCTAACTAACCTAACCCTACCTACTAGTACACCCTTACTCTAACTAACTCTAACCCTAGCTGTATAAATTACGCCAAGCGCTGATATAGGTTAAGCAGGCTTGTGACCCGGACATTTAGGTTGTTATAACCCGGACGAATATCATTTACCCAAAGCCAGTGCTCATACCGGTATAGCCAAAAAAAAAGCTGGTTCTAGAATCTAGCCTATCTGCGGTGATTCACCGAATCTGTGCCGAGAGTCAAATATGGAATGAAGTCACCGCAATATATGTATCCTACATGCAAACTGTGGTTGACTACATAAAGGCACACATATACAGAATGTGAGCTATTCTACTCACATATAATCTATACAGATGATTTATACGTTCCTTTGTAGGTTGTTTGGTGCAGTGGGAGTTCACGTCGTGGCCGGAAATTGTGGATCTAAAATGTGAGTAAGCTTACAGTACATATTCTTACGTACGTAGGACCCACCAACCGATCGTTCCGAGGGAAGTGCTAAATGTCCTCGTCATAGCAGTCAGTCTTGCAGTATCCGACGGTGAGGAGGGCCCAAATGCAGTGTGTAATGTGATCATATTGTTCTAGTCTAGCAGTATGGGAGCTATCTATGGGCAGGCACCGCCAAGAGGCTAGAGCCACACGTGACCCAGGCATTCATGACACAGCAAGTCTTTTCCCTTCCTATTGAGGTATGGATAGGGTATTATTAGCTTAGCAGTATACAGATGTAATATATCCTACTAAGCACTTATTAGAAGAGGGAAGTATGGCGTTTCGGTATTCTTTATCCCTTGAATGTGTTGCTAATTCTCCTCTAGATAGTAAAATCTAGCTACTAAGTGGCAGTCTACCAACCAGTACTATTACGTTAATCAAAAATCGCCTTAGATTATCACGCCTATTAGCATTCAATATGATATAAGTCTCGTATAAGTCGCGCTTGCACTACACTTTGAACCCTATGCATCTGCGCTTACTTGTGGTTTTAGCTTTAAATACATAGTTCCAAGTACTAATTCACTGAGCAGCTAAAGTATCCAGCGCTATACATGAGTTCATGGTCCTAGCGAGGACCAGTAGTCTATTGTGGTGAAGACAATTAGTAACTCCCTCGTTCTGAGTGTCGTACCAACTGTCAACAACATTGCTACCCCATTATTAGCATGGATCTTGTAACGAGTGCAACCCTCGTTCTATCTCAAGACTATTATAGCTAAGATAGACAGGCAACGCTAATACTGCCCTAAATTAGTTCTAAGACCCCTCTACCTCTAGGTATAAAAGGAGCCTTATATTTATACATAGATAGACAAGTTCTTCTTATCCTTTTATATAAAAACTATAGGTATAGGAATTAATGTATTTAATCTCTATATAGACGCGGACTCCTATAGACCTTTAAGTCGTATTAGACCCCGTTTAGATATTTCCACCTACCTGTGTTGTTATAGATCTAAGACCCTGTTTGCCGGAGAAGGCACTAGCCAATTCAACTACCCCTGGTAGGTACCATATATCAGACTACACTATAAAACATTGAAACGCTACCCTTAGAGAAGTTTATGTTGTCACGGATCAGTCACGAGCAATCACTAAATAACATCGCAATGAACCCTACGTCCTCATTGCGTAGAATTGGATGTAGTCTTCTGGCTCGATGTCATCATCGCTATAAGATGAGGTATCGGTACGTACATCTCTTCGTCTGTAAGGCGCGGGAGGACAGCCTTCTCGAAATTAATGCACTTCAGAAGATGAGGATGTTAGAACGATCAGATACGTAGCGTGTGTTGTGAAGTCCACTATCGTCGTGCTCACTATTAGTGCCTGACTCTTTTCTAGCAAGCAAGTCCGACTAATCTTGTTCGATGCAACGATGAACTGGATGCTCTAGCCTTTCCAATATTTTGCCCACATGGTGGGTCTTGAATATTGATTCGAATGCTTGTTCTTTCTGTAGGTAATAGATTTGATACCAATGATAAAATACATATTGTTTTCTGGTGCCGACAATACACAAATTCCTTTTCCAAGTTTGCACGTTATTCCAAGGTCAATCATACAGTCTGAAGACCAATTCTTTGGCGGTCCAACTTTCCCTAGCCATGAGGCATTGCAATATATTTCTAAATGAAAATGAAAATGTTCGCTTGCTCGTCTTCTCTCATCGCGTGAACACATACCTTCCGACACAAACCTCTAGACGCATTGCCATATGTAGGTGCATTTTCCCCCCTCAACTGAGCATGCGGTCCTCCCACCGGGCGTGTCATCAGCAAAGAAGCCGGCTCCGCCTTTGCATGCTTGCTCTCTCACGTTGACAGTGTTGGTATCTATGTTGCAGTAGCCCTCTTGACACATGCCGCCAACCATCTATGGCATCGTCGAGGCAATAGCCGAGGGGGCGAGAAAGGCGATAAGAGCAAGGAAACACATTGTTAAAGGAAGGTACTGGTGAAGTTGTGTGCGTAGGTAGTGTAGTGTATTGTGAAATGTTGATGTGGTAGAGCGCAAAGATGGCGACGTGAAGAGATAAGTAGAGGTGTAAGTACTGCAGCAAGGATGGAATATATATGAGCAATAACAGAAACCAAACACAGGCTACATCCAGACCATTTCCATGCTAACAAAAATTTGTTATGCACTGTTCAGTACTGTATAAACCCTCGAGACGCTGGTCTCATCTACTCCTAGGGCGACTAAAGCGACTTGTTGAGAGAAGCGACTGTTTCTTTTCCACTGTAAATGACTAAATTACTCCAGACGCTTAGACTGTAGCGAGAACAAGACCTTGCAAGCAGATCAGAGGTTATGTTGATCTGTAATTAGATGGTTGTGCTATTCATATCCACAAACAAAGCCATATCCACGCATGAATACAAAGCGGTAGTTCAAGTTCACATACTAGGTAGTAGATCTTATCATGCTCCAAGTCATACCGATTGAGACGCTCTTGCAATGATCACAATAGTGTCCTGCACCTGTGATAAAATCCCCCGATGCAGGATCAGGGGAGAAAATCTCCGCTGTGTTTTACATAGACTATCGGAACAATCAGTACAATCAATATTTCCCACAAGATCGACTGCAGCATTGCGGTACCGTTTTAGTCATCATGAATCAGTGTTATAGGGCCCGATACATTAATGTTTGAATCCTCTTGTGTCAGTTTAACTACTTAGGTTAGACAGGCCCCGTCTGCCCCTCTCTGCCAAGTGCTCAGACTACAACTACCCACCATTACGTACCTCTGCCAAGTGATCCTTTAACTGCGCTTTATTATACATAGGCAGGTACTGTAGTTTTCTACTTATGCCTTAATTTATACTACAATGCCAGGAAGCCAGTCCACAAAATAAGTCGAGAGATTTTGTCGAATCCTGATTAGAAAAACTGGGGCTTCAACTAATGCTAACCAATCAAGACGAAGTATTTCCATCCACTTGTTACAAAACAGATCCACTCAGAATTCCAATTCCAAGAGCCTTTACTTTAGTTGATGAGAAAATGAATGATAGCTTCTCATAACCCGTTTCCGTTATCCGCAACCCATAGGTAGACCTCCTGAAAAGGCAAAAATTACCGTATTCATCATCGCCATAGTGACTTCGATTTCCTTGCGCAAAGCTTTAGTCTTAGACGATGTGTATCATTTTGCTGGAAACACATCAAAAGACCACAGTATTAATGCAAAGTAACAGCTCCAAGTCTACAGACTATACATAACCTAGATCGCTCCAAACTAAATCAGGAGAAAGTATTTCGTCATTCTTCCACTCCCCAATGAACAGAATCGAGCTGACCGAATACCCAAACTTCAACCCCCACAATTTGTTTGCTAAAGTGTCTTTCTTCCTGCGTCCATGATACATCGAACTCCGCCCCTCTCCCCGAAAAACAGCCCGTGGTGCGATAACTCCCAACCCCAATCCCCCAATCCTCCAAGACAAAACCAGCTCTACAACACTAATCAATATAAGACATCAATCACATCACATGCCATACCAATATGCCAGGACATGTAATCCAATAATCTTCACTGCTTGAAAAGATGAGATGGCCAAGGTGAGATACACCGCATATCCCCCCATCTCAACCAAACAACCCCTCCACCAACTGAGTAACAGCATCGTACACCTCCCCCTCCTCACACCCCGTCGCCCTCCCCACAATCACCGGAATCTGTTCCTTCCTGACCCCCCACGCCCCCAAATCCCTATGCAACCCCAAATCCCTCACAAGCTGCAACACCCTGTCCCCCACTCTCTCCGCATCTCTCTGCACATCGCCACTCTCCACTTCTCCCAGAACCGGTAGTAGGCGTACAATCTGTTCCGCCGCTGCCGGCTCCCTCGCCTTCAACTTGACAACATGCCCCAGAGTAAGACAGCTCGTCATACCATGGGGAATCCCATACGGCGACCCCAGCGCATACCCCAACGCATGAGAGAGACCCAGTCCGCCTTGAACATTCGTGCCCCAGAACCCGAGAGACGCAAACGCAGCAAGCTGCAACGCCGTCACCGTATCCTCGCCCCGATCCCCGTTTCTAAACTTTTGCAGCTGGGAAAACAAGGTCCCTGCAGACTGTAAACACAGCCATTTGGTCGGCATTTCCGCCGCCGTAGGGTAGTACAGCAATTCGAGCGCGTGGTCTAGCGCGCGCAGGCCCGTGGAGAGAAGGAGTGGCTCGGGCGTGTGCAGGGCGAAACTGGCGTCGTATAGGACAACGTGGGGTACGAGCTCTTTCGCTCTGAGACCAGTTTTTATGCCGGTGGCAGAGGTGTAGCCGGCGATCATGGTGCATTCGCCGGCGGAGAGGGTGGTAGGGATGGTGATGTGGAAAAGCCAGTTCCCAGTTTGGGAGTGCAGGCGGTGGGATATGGCTTTTGCGCTGTCGATGGGACTCCCCCCGCCGATGCTGATGATGGTGTCAATATTGCTGGCCTGTTGAATGTGGGTGGTGGCGGCGTCCAGGTCGGCGATGGGAGCGTGTTGGCCGATTTTGGAAAAGGTGCCTGCGTGCTTGCTTCCGAGCAAGGTTTCGACGTTCCTGATCAGGGGTGTTTTGGTGGCGAGGGAGGATCCGGTGATGATGAATGCTTTGCTGTTTTCGGTGGGTAGGCACTCGAGTAGATGTCTCTGGACGGATCCAGAACCATAGTGTAATTTCTGGAGCTGAGTGGGTTGCCAGAGGCCGGCAAGGGGTTGGTATGTTGACTCTGACATGCTCGACTTGGAGGATTACAAGCAATAATCTTGGTTCTATCTGGATACTCTGCGGGTTGTAACAGTACAGCTACTTGTCGAGTCGCAAGACCTGGTGGAAGTGGATCGTCCGGTGGCGTGACGGTGGGGAAGGCTACTTTGCAATGCCAATGTACGAGACGATATTACCGCCGGAATTTTTTAGGGAAAATCTGAGGGAACTCATGGCAATGGGAAGATTTTGTGCTTGGCCTTGATTGATGAAACGACCATTTTCGGCGTGGTGACGTAGGGCTTGGCGCCCCAGAGGGGGTGAAGTACCGAGGCCCAGACTGAACAGCACAAGTTGTGGTATTGTATCTAGGCTATTCATTACTTTTACTTTAGAGCCCTGAGCACTGCCGGCGATCAAGTATCTCAGCATCCCTGTAGACAGCCAACAAGAGAGTAATACAGTAGTAGGATCGTCTCATACGAACGAGGGACCTCTTGGCACAGGACTTACGAAGCATACCCTCGCAATTGACAATCACAGTGTGAGGCAGGACTTGAATTTGACTTGGTTCATTGAAGAGCGGAGAAGTAACGTCAGATTACCATCTCGCGCCTCTGTACTATATTACATTTCATTCGCAACATTTGCGATTACAATCCTCTGCGATATTCTCCTTCAGGATATCCAGTTCGAGTTTTTCGTCACTCCGACATGATTCCCAAGATCGAACCACGGATCCTAAAACATACACTAGCGAGGAGAAGAGAAAGCCATCAGACAAGGAAAGTATGATACATAGATGCTCATACACATAAGGGGACATGTACAAGTCTAGACGACCCAACCCAGACCATTTCGTGACCAGATGCAAGACGCCTGCTTTTTTTGCCGTAAAAATGAACTGAACAATGGAAGATAAACTGGAGCAAGACGATGAAAGCATTCAAGGCTTCTTCTCGCCCTCGCCCTCAGGCTGCTGTGGCTGCTCGCTCTGGTTCTGGCTCTCAGAGCGGGCCTTGTGCATCTGGTCAAACAGGCTCAGGGAAGCGTTCTGGAGCTCGTCGGTCTTCTCCTTGATCTCAGCGGCGGTGGCGCCGCCCTCGCCAGATTGGCTCTGGGAGATGAACTCGCGCATGGACGCAATCTTCTCCTTGATCTTCTCGGCCTCGGTCTTGTCGAGGCGGTCCTCAAACTCCTTGAGGGCTTTCTCAGTGTCGTTCACGACGCTGTCAGCGCGGTTGGCAGCCTCAATAGCGTTCTTGCGCTCCTTGTCCTGCTCAGCATACTGCTCAGAGTCACGAACCATGTTCTCAATCTCAGCCTCGGACAGACCGGATCCAGAGGCAATGGTGATGGACTGATCCTTGTTGGTGGACTTGTCCTTGGCGTGGACGTGAACAATGGAGTCGGCATCAATGTCGAAGGTGACCTCAATCTGGGGCACACCGCGGTGGGCAGGGGGGATACCGACGAGCTGGAAGTTTCCGAGGAGCTTGTTGTCACGGACAAGCTCACGCTCACCCTGGTAGACCTTGATTTCCACGGCGCTCTGGAAGTCGGCCGCGGTGGAGAAGACTTGAGACTTCTTGGTGGGGATCGTGGTGTTGCGGTTGATCAAACGCGTGAAGACACCACCGAGCGTCTCGATACCGAGCGAAAGAGGCGTGACATCGAGGAGGAGAAGGTCAGTGACTTCACCAGCAAGGACGGCACCCTGGATAGCAGCACCAATCGCGACGGCTTCATCGGGGTTGACAGACTTGGCAGGGTCGCGGCCAAAGATGCTCTTGACCGACTCGGACACCTTGGGCATACGCGTCATACCACCAACCAGGATAACCTCGGAAATGTCCTTGGCCTGCAGGTTGGCGTCCTTGAGCGCCTTGCGGACGGGCTCGACGGTCCTGCTGATGAGCGGGTCCATCATCTTCTCGAGCTGCGCGCGCGTAAGCTTGGTGTTGATGTGCTTGGGACCGGACGCGTCGGCAGTGATGAAGGGCAGGTTGATGTCCGTCTGCGATGACGAGGAAAGCTCAATCTTGGCCTTCTCCGCAGCCTCACGGATGCGCTGAATGGCCATGCGGTCGCTGTTCAGATCAATTCCTTGCTCCTTCTTGAACTGCTGCACCAGGTGGCGAACAAGAGTAATATCGAAATCTTCGCCGCCAAGGTGTGTGTCACCGTTGGTTGATTTGACCTCGAAGACACCCGACTGGATCTCAAGGATGGAGATATCGAAGGTACCGCCACCAAGATCGTAGACGGCGACGACGTTGTCGGTGGCCTTGTCGAGACCGTAGGCGAGGGCGGCAGCGGTGGGCTCGTTGACGACACGAAGGACATTGAGGCCGGCAATTTGACCAGCGTCCTTGGTGGCCTGACGCTGGGAGTCGTTGAAGTAAGCGGGGACGGTGACGACGGCATTCTTGACGGTCTTGCCCATGTAGGACTCGGCCGTTTCCTTCATCTTTCCGAGCACGAAGCCACCAACCTGAGAGGGCGAGTACTTTTGGCCCTGAGCCTCGAGCCATGCGTCGCCGTTGCTGTGCTGGACAATCTTGTAGGGAACTTGCTGAATGTCCTTTTGGACTTCGCTATCGGTGAATTTTCGGCCGATGAGACGCTTGGTAGCGAAAAGAGTGTTCTCGGGGTTGACGACGGCCTGGCGCTTGGCGGCAATACCAACGAGACGCTCGCCTTCCTTTGTGAAGCCAACGACGGACGGTGTTGTGCGACCACCTGGATACAAGTGAGCATAATGGCCAATGGACAGACTCTAATGGCGGAAATTCTTACCTTCGGAGTTCTCAATGATGCGAGGGACCTTGCCCTCCATGACAGCAACGGCCGAGTTGGTCGTTCCCAAATCGATACCAATGACCGAGCCCTTGACCTTCTCCTCGCCGCCCTCGGCATATCCACGCGCAAAGGCGGGAGCCCTGAAGGCGGGGGTGCGACGCGCCGCCGAAGCTGCGCGAGGCAAAAACTGGCATTGAGGTCAGAAGCTACTTCAAATGTGCGTTCACGTAGTCTGGATTCTGGCTTACAGTCCGTGATAATCTCGAGGACAGCATTGTGATATGTGAGAGAGACGCTGCAATGGGGGGTTCGGAGATGCAGGCGACAGGGCGATTATTAGGAAGGGTAATGGAATGGATGGGTGGGATGGGTGGATTGGTTATATGATGATGATGATGAGGTAGACGAGGTAGACGACGCTCGGACGCGCGGGCGATGAAATTTCTCGGAGAAGCTTCTAGCTCGATTTGGTCCCCACCGGGTGTCGTCCGTGCTCAACCACAAAGCACATGATCATTGACAACGACAACTAGGTACATGTACGGATCCATCATAAGAGGAGAAGAAGGTACAGTTTTTGTTGCTCAGTTTCAATTACAGGAAGGGGGTTCAAGGTTGAAGTTGGTTGAGAATACTCTGCATAGTGAACACACCAGTAGACAGCAGGTGAGACAGCAGGTACCGGTAAGATTGGCCACGCTGTATCGATAGAGCACATGCCGGCAATCCACTGGCAGTCCAATGCGCCTCATCGATCTTAGTACTCGACATCACATCATGGCTAATTGCCTGTGCCGAAACATGGAAGCTCATCATCTTTGACACTTTGTACCTAGACATGGTCATTTACATATGCAATTGTGCCGTCTTCTTCTATTATGTCTGTGAGATGTAAGACGGGAAGAAAGACGATTTGCAAATTCCATGTTAGGCTCAGGCATCTATCTATCCTGCCATGCTCTAGCTGCAGCGGCAGTGGCAGGCAGAAGGTGGACAATAATCAGATACCTTCCCATACTTTCACCAAGTGGCTACACAGTACTCTGCCCTACAGTACTCTATGTTGTCGCTTGCAAGGTGCAGGGTTGTCTCGTCGATTAGATTTCTTGGCGCATGTGCTCGCGCATGTCTGTGTGTGTGTGTGTGTGTGTGTGTCTGTGTGGGGAAGCTGGAAGGATGCTTGTACGATGGCGTCGTCCGACAGCATCTGGAAACACAGCCTGCGACTGACTCAACTCCTCTTCCTCCTACTGAGAACCTTGAGCCTCGCAACACTCTGCTCCTACTCTGTCTTAACGTTAGTCTAGAGTACTCCACGCATCTCTTTCTGTACCACCGTGCATATTAGTCATCATCACCCCAGTTCTCCAATCCCGTCCTCCGGATCAAATTGCTACAGACGACCTGCGACCAAACGCTGCCTTCCTGGGACTTCCTTGTGACGTAGCCCGAACTTCACCTGCCACAGCAAGCCCACCCCCCCCCCCCTCTCCCCCTCGGCGGACACGACAGGCTGCAAAGACATGCAGCAATCGCCTGCCTGACCACAGCATGGCCGTCGATGACTTGATGTTCGTGCGCCCTTCCCCCAAATACGGCACCCAGACCCCATCCACTAATCATTGCAGCATTCGAGACACCGACGCCTTTGTGTTGCCCTCGAAAGCCTACTATCCCACAAAAATCCCTATAGCGTGCGCCTCCCCCGACACCCTCTCCCTCACCAGCGAGACAGACTAACCGACAGACAACAGACATTTCCAGCTGCGTCATTTCATCAGCTGTCCCGAACCTGACCTCGTTTACTATGCGAGCGGCCCCGAAGTCTACTGCCTCAACACGGCCACCCGAACACAAGCACACGTCACCACACTGCCCTTCGATGCGCGCTGTACCTCGGCTGGCCATGGCTACGTCTGTGTCGGAGGTGCAGAAAATGGCAACTTCGCAGCCATCAAGGTGACGGGCATGCCCCCCACAGATTCGTCCGACGTCGATGCCTCGTTACCGCTTAACTTGGAGCACCGCCTACCTCGGCCCCCTCTTTTGGGCACCGCAGCCCGTATATGTCTCGAGAAGATTGGCGAGAATATTGTCAACTCCATCTCAATACACTGCCTACCAGACGCAAACGAGGGCAAAGGCGATGTTGTCGCGGTCCTCACCAACAACGACAAGACTGTGCGCCTCTACTCTCTAACGCAAAATCTCGAGCTCTTTGTCTTGGACCTCCCTTTCGCCATGAACCATGCGACCATATCGCCGGATGGGCAAATGTTGGTGGCTGTGGGAGACGCGCCAACTGCCTATTTCTTCGAATACTGCAATGTGTCAAAGGGGAGCGACTACAAGCAATCAGAGGGCATAACGCACTCGATAGGCCCGGAGTGGACGCTGCTCGAACAAGTCAAACTTTACATACCAGAGGGTTCACGAGCGGATGGGTATTTCACTACTGCCTGGTCGCCTTCTTCGCGCTTGTGTGCGGTGGGCTCTGAGTGTGGCTACATCACACTGTTCGACGTTGAACTGATCAAGTATGTCGATGATCCCCAGGACGCAATTCTGCAAACAATCCAGTCCACAAGTCCAGATATCCAACACGGCCCGGGTTCCGTGCGGACAATGTACTTCTCACCAGCACCATGGGACCTTCTGATTTGGAGTGAGGACCAGGGCAGAGTGTGTGTAGCTGATTTGCGGACTGCTCTGACGGTACGGCAGATACTGACACTGGATCCAAAAGAGGAGGGAATAGAGAAGGTTGAAATAGCCGACTTCGACATGACCCTCACGCCTGAAATGCATGAGCTGCGCAGGGAAGCTGAATTCCTTCGCGGTTACCGTCGTGCGTTAGACTCGGAGGGTACATCGGCGGCCGTTGATGTCGCACAAACCTACTTTGATGGCGACTATGAGCGGCGCAGGGCGCTTCAAAGGCAAGCGGGGGTCGTGCAGTCAGACAATGACCAATTTGGATTGAGTGCGCATGAGCGTCAAGTCATTGAGACGCTGCGAAGTACCAGGTCACGAGCTGAAGGTCGAGAGCCGGAGATAACGCCACGGAGTATTGTGTACAGCACTTCAAGGCAGCGTGATACTCGACCGTAAGTGCAACATCCCAGTCTAGCAACGCGTAGCTAATTACCTCGCAGTGAGTCTGGCAGTGATTCCACAGATCGACCCACGACCACTACTGCCAACGAACACGTGCTGGATAATTTACTACTTCGCACCGAGCATGGACTCTTTCCACGTCGCCAGGCTTCGGTCATCGTCTCCATTGACGAAGCCACGGTCAACGTCCCACCTGATGCCATTACCCACATCACTGACTCAGCGCTCACACGATCACCCAACCCTGTACCAGCACACGCTCGTCGCGCTGCCAACAACCTTCTTGCTTCAACAGATGCCGCTTGGCGTACCATCGAAGAAGCACACGCTGCTCAAACGCGAGCTGCTAATCGTAGCTCCACATCCAATCCATCCGCACCAGAGCTACGTAGTCTACGACAGGTGACGCAGATGCGCGAGCGTCTCCGCCTCGTACGAGCACTCCAGATACAGGCTTCTTCAGAGCGACATGACCCAGCCATGGGCGTTAGAACGGCCGGATTAGCTATGAGCTCTGATGGGCGGACACTCTACTGCGGCACAGAAGAGGGAATTTTCGAGTTCAAGATGAATTTGCACGCAAGGAAGGCATTTCCTGCTATCAAACCCTGCTAGATCTGCGGGTGTCTCTTCTCTTTTTTCCATTTCCATTTCGACAACACAGATTTTAATTCTTTTTCTTTATGCCGAAGACGCTATTATGATCATGAATGGGGTTGGGATGCATTGGGTCGGCACTGGCGCACTTGGGTCACGGACAGGATATCCTCTGGGGTGAACACTTCACTTTGGGCACAGTATGTACAACGTTATCCTCAGTAAATCATGTAATTCAACATGAATTCATTTCATGTGATGTTGTTCGCTGGGGTAGTAGGCCCTTGTGGCTTACCTGGTACAGTGTCGGGGATGTGGGTGATGAGTCTACCTAGTCTTGGAGGGGAGGGATACGGATGTTCCATGCCCGATGTGCGGACCGGCAGTGCAACCGGCGTCGATGGCGCAATTCCAGCGGTGACTCGCCCTCCCCACAAAGCCCAGAGCAACCACTCACGTACCTTGCAGAATGCCAAAAGCGCGCAGCTTACATAGGAGTACCTCCACCTTCTACCCTTTCTGTCACCATTCTGGCCATCACATAATCTCCTCTTTTTCGCCTCCATCTAGCCTTTTCTGAGGTAACTATTCTATACCGCATACTCCTGCTGTGAAGTATTCATCTTTGCACGTTTGATTTGCCTCAACGCGAATCACAGCCCCGCCACTCTCGGCTTTCAACAAAGTCCGCTTGCGCGGACGTCCAGCACTTCTCGACGTCGCAATGGCTGGAGAGAGCTCAAAGGTCAAGGCCAATGGTGCTGGAAAGGCTGCGCTGCCTATCGACATCGACGGCCACAATCTGCCGCCTTCGCCAGCACCAAGCTCGCCACGCAATGGGCGCAAGTATGCGCTGATGACAGAGCTGGTGTACACGGAGAGCACCGACCAGTACAACGCCAGCTCTGTGCCCATCTATCAGGTATGGCTTTTCCCTGCTTCCTTGGGGGCCATTGTGTGGTGCTGTACAAGCAGGAGAAGGCCTGGCTAACGTCGACAGTCCGCAACCTTCAAACAAGACTCAGCCACTGGCGGCGGCGGAGAATACGACTACACGCGCTCTGGCAATCCCACACGAACACACCTCGAGCGCCATCTTGCAAAGATTATGAGCGCGAATCGTGCCCTCGTCGTCTCCTCGGGCATGGGTGCGCTCGACGTCATCACACGCTTGCTCCGTCCTGGCGACGAAGTCGTGACCGGCGACGACCTTTACGGTGGCACCAACCGTCTTCTTAAATACCTGTCTACCCATGGCGGCATCATTGTCCATCACGTTGACACGACAAACCCCGACTCTGTCCGCGCCGTCGTCTCCTCGAAGACCGCCATGGTGCTCCTCGAAACCCCCACAAACCCCCTCATCAAAATCTGCGATATTCCCGCCATATCCGCCATCACCCACGCTGCGAGCCCCTCGGCTGTGGTTGCAGTGGATAACACTATGATGTCGCCCATGCTGCTGAACCCGCTAGACCTTGGCGCAGACATTGTCTATGAATCTGGCACCAAATATCTCTCCGGTCACCACGATCTCATGGCCGGTGTAATCGCCGTCAACGATTCTGCATTGGGTGACAGGCTCTTCTTCACTATCAACGCCTCGGGCTGCGGTCTCTCCCCTTTTGATTCGTGGCTCCTCCTTCGCGGAATCAAGACGCTAGGAATTCGCATGGAAAAACAGCAAGCCAACGCGCAGCGCATTGCCGAATTTCTTGAATCCCACGGCTTCAAGGTCCGCTTCCCCGGTCTCAAATCCCACCCACAGTACGAGCTGCATTGGAGCATGGCGCGGGGTGCGGGAGCCGTCCTCAGCTTCGAAACTGGAGACGTGGATATCAGCGAACGCATTGTAGAGAGCGCACGCTTGTGGGGAATCAGCGTGAGTTTTGGGTGCGTAAATAGTTTGATAAGTATGCCGTGTCGCATGAGCCATGCCAGTATCGATGAGAAAACGAGGCGGGAGAGAAACATGCCCGAGGATATTATCAGGTTGTGTGTCGGAATTGAGGACGTGGAGGATCTTTTGGATGATTTGAGCAGAGCCGTAAGTCGTCCTCCTTCTCACTATCGCGTCGAGGTGCAGCCGCTGACATTGGCCCTTTTAGCTCGTACAAGCTGGTGCAGTCAACATCACTCCTGGCGGCTTCCACGCCCTTGGATCTACCGCTGCGCAGACCATCGAAGCAACATCGACCGCGCCTGCGCCTGCGCCTGCAGAGTCTTGAACTGTCTATCACAGACGACAAAACATGAAACAAAGTCACCGCTGTCCTATCACTCTAGTGGTTGGTTAACGTGATACACATTCCCTTTCCTTCACCTGGGATCAAGAAGATGAAGATGAGAAGATGCATGGTCGTTTCGCTTCAACGCTTTCCCACTCTCTCTCTCTCTCTGATTGATTTAGTCACCTCTGTCACCGCTCTGGTGTTAACGTGATATCTTGGTGCATTTGTAGCTTGGGGAAGATGGATCAATTCTCCTTTTTTCCTATTTCAATCAAATACTTATCACATTAATGTGCGCTCGTTGATGTCAGCCCTAAGATTGACAATTAGCATGCAGCGTCAAATGCACTGTCTAAGTAATCGACATGATCCGCAACATTGACACCTCACGGTGACAGCCCTGTAGGTAAACGATCTACGCACGTTATCGGCATGTGCTTCTGCTCCCTTCCGCTCACACCCTGAACACCTGATGCTGACAGCCCAGTCCGCCCAGCGTACGTCCAGCTCGTACTCGCGCTCGTGCTCAGTGCTTATCCCGCCAACCCCCCTTCTCGTGATGCGCAGCACCATAAGACCACGTCTACACGCATACACACATGCATACAAGCTTCTCTATATCTTTCCATCCACTAACGCGTCCCTGTTTTCTTCTTGCACACACGTATACACGATTGCCAGCTTTGGGGGGCCTGGGTACCGGTACCGCTGTCGGTAGGGACCGAGGCTAAAAGATCTACTGGGGAAAGGTGGGCTGGCTGCAAGACGAGACGAGACGAAACGCAACGCAAAGGCAAACGCAGAAGCAGACGCAGACGGTGATTTTGGCGTGAAAGAGGTTGGATTCATTCATCTGCAGGGGCTGATTTATATCGGTCTCATTATTGAAAGGCAGAGGTAGGGTTTTCCTTTTGGGCGGTATAGGTATTGCTAGAGTAAAGTAAAGGAGGGGAAAGAGGTGGGTGGCCTAAGAGTTGGGATTCATCTTAGAGGAGAGCTCCTCTGCTTGACAGTACCACATATCATGATGACACCGTCCTGTTTCGAGAGGCTGTCTAACAGACCTAACACTGGGAATCTCTTTGGCTCGTCTGGCTATGCTGGTGATATCGACGCGACTATCGGCACCACCAACGTCAACCACAACACCACCACCACTACCAACAATGACACCAACAACAAGATCAAAAGCCCAATCCCACCCCTCCCAAATACCCGAACCCCAAAGGACCCCCAACCCCCAACCCCCACCTTCCTCGCCCTCCCCCGCGAAATCCGCGATCTAATCTACACCGAACTACTCCTAAGCCCCCGTCCCCGACCGTCCCCCTCCTCCACCAAAAACAAGGAACTCTGGTACCGCCCCGCCTTCTGCTGTTCCTCCTCCCCCTCCTTCACCTCCATGTCACTTTCCGCAGCGGCCCCAAACCCGCTCGCTGCATTAACAGCCGCCATCCCCTTTGCAGCCGTAGCAGCGCCCACCCACGCCCGCGGCACAGTGCTTCCTCCAGTTACCGCGGCTTCGCGGCATCCGCTTCCGCCGTCGATTGCGAATGTGCTTTGCTTGAACCGACAGATTCATGGGGAGATGCTGGGGGTCGTGCAGCGGGTGCGTGGGTCGAAAAGGGGGTTGGGGCCTGCGCTGGATTGTATGGTCAGAGCGGGGGTGTGCTGGTTTACGTGGGTGGGTGGGTTGGTTGTTAGGACGGGGGCTGAGGAGGTGGAGAAGGAGGGGGGGAGTAGTGGTGGTAATGGTGGTGGGATGAAAGATTGGGTCAAGGACTGGATGGCTGGACTTTTGTGCAGGGTGAGGGGGTGTGGGAGGGGTGGTGGGGTGACGACGGTGGTGGAGCGGTTGTGGGTTGATGTTAGGGTTTGTGATGGGGAGGGGGAGGTGGCTGAATGGGGGGAAGGAGATGGAGACGGAGATGAAGGAGATGGTGGTGGTGGTGGTGATGGTGGCGGAGGCACCGCTCCCCCAACCCAACCCAACCAAAGCACCACTGGCAAAATAACCCAAGCCATCTGCGCAGCCCTCCACCACATCCTCACCTTCGGCCCAGATTTCACCCCCCGCCCCTCAACACCATCACCCAACCCCTCCACCATCCTGATCGGCGAACTCGTCCTCAACGTCATTCCCTTCTCCTCTTCTTCCTCCCCCACCGACCCGCATACTCTAGCCAAAGGTCTGCTAACCCTCTACCAACAGCTCTGGTCCACCACCAGTGCCACCAACGACTCCTCCACCCAGCAACCCCCTTACTCGCCCTGCCAGCTGCTCGAGAAGGTTGGCAAAATGCAGGTTTGCGTGGACGAGGTGGAGGTTGGGCGAAGGGTGCTGCGGGGAGAGTTAGAGCGTGGGAGGAGGGAGAAGCACAGGCTTCAGAGGAGGTTTATTTGGTTGGGGGACTGAGTGTGGATTTTGTGTGGGGATAGCCGGGGGTGTGGGGTTGTCAACTTGTGGGGGGTTTTTTTTTGCCTGTGGAGTTTTGCGTGATATTTTTTTAGAGGGGATCGTGGAGTATGGGGAAAGGGGGGGGGGCGCTGTACCGTGTGGGGGGGATTGTTTTTGGTCAATTGGGTTTTTTATATTACTTGTGGTACGAGCGGGTACGCAGTGGGTGGATAAGGGGCGCTGGATGGGGTCTTTTGGGCATGTTAGTTACGGTATACCAGGGGCATGGAACTTTGCAGTTTTTTGTTGGCTTCTGTGTGTGCGTGTGTCTTATAGACTGTATAACTGTGCCTCGAAGCACATTTAGTGCTCACCACAATCTCGGGCATTAAAGCCAACTAACTATTGTACCGTAGTATATAGAATTTGTCTCCCAACGAGTGCAACTCCCGCATCTCCAATTGGCCCCTCGTCGATCCTTACCATACTGGCATCTTTGCATAACCCCTCCGCACCCGCTTTTATGGAGCGACAGCCCTCATCGCGAAGTCTTCTTGGCAAAGTTGCTTGGAGACGATCGTTACTGGTGATCAGTGATGGAGCCCGCCACGGAAGTCGATCTTCCCGTCACGTTGGGTACCTACACACTGTACAAGTGCTCGACTGCGGATGACAACCTACTACCTATGTATAGGTACTTCAAGTAGCAGTACTGTGGTAGTCTGACTTGTAGCAAGAAACTTTCCACAATGTCAACCTTTCTTCCCACCGCCAGTTGCTCGTGTGGCGATTCAACAAAATCCCCCCTTCTCACTCACTCCACGCTGACAAGTCCCCATCCCTGTCCCCAGCCATAGAAGACTATGGAAGGCGCAGTCGCGTATAAATAGCCAATTGATGAGGTGTTCAAGCATGAAAAAGATTGCCCACCCAATCCCAAAGGCTCAGCGCTATACCCGATTCTCCCCCTCTTCCGGCAAAATGCGTACCATGACGAGTCCTTTTTTCTGCCCTCGACTGGTTTTTTTTTCTTGTACGCCCGATTGCGATTCGACTAGTACGTTTGTGGTATCCACTCCCTCCCCTGCGGCAACGGCCCCAATTCGCTGGGAGTTGGCAGTTTTTGGAGAGAGGAGGGAAGGGGAAAGAGAAGCGGCGGCGGTCGGCTCGGCACGCACAAGGCGCCGAACGCGCCCTGTGGGAAGAGATTTGGGGGAACTGACGAAGACGACGACGACGGAGACGAGCATGACCAGGAACATGGCTCCACCCCCGAATTCCCGACTATTTTGCACGCTCTCTTACGATGCATTGTACTACACTACTCCTAGGTGACTAGACAGTTCTGTGCAATCCAACATTCCTCCTCCTGAGACCCCGGACACCACATGCTCCAGAATCAGTCTGGCGCCGATCGATTCACCCTCGCACATGCAGGTGAATGTTCGCCGGAGTTTCGTAATTCACATTGCCGATTCAGGGCATGATTGAGTCTTTTTCTCTTTTTTGCCTTTTCTTAATTGAACTGACGCGCCAGACTTGTGCACGACTGTGGGAAGCGTTGGGAGCTCACCCGTATGGCTTAACAGCGGCTGCTTGTGGAAGCTACCGGTACTGTACGCCTCCTCCAGCACATCCCAGCGGCCTACCGTATAGCTTCCAGCGGCCTTGGCATGGGGAGACGGTGTTTCGTCAAACAGGGCCCCTTGCTGCTTCAGGTTGCGCCTCCGTCGTGCCCATTCATGTAGCCCCACCGTACCATTGGCCAGACTCTCGACGCCTCGCTCAGGGGCAGACTGCAACGGTGAAAGCTGCCAGTCGGCCCCTGCATGAGCCGCCAACATGCGCGTTGTCGACCCATGGCCCTGCGGAAGCGCATGTCCCCATGGGCGGAAATGGCATGTGGATTGGGATTTTTCAGTGGGCTAAGGCGGGAACTGAGGCTTTTGTGTTTTATATTTAAGACGCACTGATATTCCTCCTGACTGAGGTTGGCCTTTTGCTCGCTTCTCGTCGATTCAGTTGCTCGATTGCACCTTTTTCGATTGTTGCTGGCTTCTGTCTCTCGTTGTTTCCTACATCCTCTGCTCTCGACTGCATACCTACTTGCATACAAAAGTTTTCTGCTTGCCCTTGGATAGCATCATCATCATTATCCTGCGTGTGCTTTTGAGTTTACGATTACAACTGCTGGGCAGTTGCTCGCTTCGAATCCCATACGAATAACCGACAAGATGGCGGCTTCTACTATTTCCACCAGCAGGACTCTCAAGCCAGATGCAATCGACATTCCTCCCTCCTCCAGCGGGAGCAACAAAGCAAGGAGCCCACAGGATGAACCAATGTCGCCTCGTTCATGGCGGCATCGCGAGAATACCTACCAGCCTCCATCACGGATACAGACTACGGGCAGTCTCGATGCGGAAGACTACTTTGTACGTGTTGATTGCTCCAAAGTCCATGGTCAACCTACTAACGCGAATTCCAGGTTGGACCTCGCGACATGTCCAAGCATTCAAAATGGCCATATTTCATGCGGATGCACGGATCCGTCTTCCCCAAGATGATCATCCCTCTCACTGTCGTCACCGTCTGGTCCACCGCCATTACCGTGGTCTCGGAACTAGTGCACCCACTTTCCGTCAGCACGTTGCTCCTTACCGTTCTCGGTTTCGTCGTCGGTTTAGCGATTTCCTTCCGAACCAGCACCGCATACGAGCGCTACACCGAAGGCCGAAAGTACTGGAGTCAATTGATCTTCGTCAGCCAAAATCTCGCTCGCACAATCTGGATCCACACGGCCGAACGCGAGGGCGAGCTAGGCAAAGAGGATCTCCTCAAGAAATTGTCCGCATTGAACCTGCTCAACGCGTTTGCGTGCTCGGTCAAGCACAGACTTCGCTTTGAGCCTGGCATCGACTATCCCGATCTCCGTCAGCGCGTCGAGTTTCTTGATACGTTTGCCAAGGCTGCCGAAGTCCACATCCCCAAGGAGTCGGATAAGAAGAAAATCAAGGCCATTGGCGAGTACCTCGGAGTCACGTTTGCAGAGTCGAACCCGCGCAAGAGGATCAAGCGTTCCAAAAAACCTCTTGGTAATCTTTCTCTCGAGATTTTGAACCACTTGTCATCATACGTCCACAGCATCATCAACAATGACACGCTCTCCATCGGCCTATATCAGAATCAAGCCAGTAAGTTCCCTTCTAGGATCGCCCACCTCAAAAAACCCTGTTTTCAAACAACCAAGCTGACCAACACACCCAGTCACTGCAGTCGTTGCCCTCAATGAAGCCCTAACCGGCATGGACCGCGTCCTCCAAACCCCCCTCCCAATCGCCTACTCCATCGCCATCTCGCAAATCACCTGGGTCTACGTCATGGCCCTCCCCTTCCAGCTCGTCGACAGTCTTCACTGGGTCACCATCCCCGGCTGTGTCTTCGCCGCCTACATCATCATCGGTCTCGCTGCCATTGGCCGTGAAATCGAAAACCCCTTTGGCCACGACGTCAACGACCTCCCGCTCGAAGCCTACTGCGAAGAGCTCGAAATGGACATTGACACCATCACCTCGATGTACGCACCCTCGACGCAGGAGTTTATGGGACGAGAGGGCAATATGCCGATTTGGCCGCTCAGTCACAAGAGCTTTGGCGAGTGGACACTCAGGAGCAAGCAGGATATTCGCGATGCGTTGATGACAAAGACAAAGGCGGATATGGCGGTGAGGAAGAGCTTTGCGGTGCCTAAGGATAGTCAGGAGGACTAATATGTACATGCCACGTTACAGCATCAGTCGGATGCTTAGCATGTGCTTGTCCTTTGCCCCCTCTTCCGCTACTTCCCCTTCTTTGATGAAGACTGCAGCCGCCATCTGCCTGCTCTCACTTTTTTCTCTACCATAAATCATAATAATGGCAGGTCTATCCCTATCGACAGTCCTATCCCTACCTCTCAGCACGGTGTTTTATCTCTTCTTCTTTTTTACCCGCAGAACAACTTGTTTCTGGGTTGGGTTGCATAGCGAGGACTCCTGCCTTGGCGTTTATCACACAGTGTCTTTTTTCATCAGCATTATAGCCGTGGTTGTCCCGTTCTGGGATAGGACTCGAGAGCGTGGTAGTGTCTGGGCGTGTCTAGACGTCTGCACGAGCGTGCATTTGGTGCACTTTATAAAAGCAGAAATATGAAATACAATTACTTGGAATAGTTTTCTCCTGCTCTTTTGGTCAGATGTGTGGATTGTGGTTGTGTGCTCGGATGGGATGTGGGGTTTTCGGCTGGCTTGGTGGAGGGATGGCGGATGATGTTCTGGATAGTACCCAGTCTCTGGCGGAGTGTGGCGCGTACACATTGAAGTCAGCATGTGCAATTTAGACACGATATCAGGTAGTTTCAGTAGTGACTAGCTTTATTTGAGCGGCATGGGGAGATTGGAGTTGAGGAGTTCTGTTGTGGTTGGTTATGAGTACAGGGCAGATGGGGGTTGGAATGTGTGCTCCCGACAATGATTTCTTTTTGCGTTGAGAGAGGCTTGCTTGAGGAGTGCAAAATGGAATTGGAGACCAGGGCTCATGCTGTTGGATATACATGATGTTTGATGCAGCAAGCCCCCAGCTGTGGAGGGCGCAGTTCATATAACCATGGAATTAGCGCTGCGTGAACTTGTATTTGGCATAACGTGATCCACCACCGAGCGCCCACCCCCACTGAGCGCCCACTAACACCAAAATCCACCACCCACTAAATGAGGATATTGCGCCACCCACAATAGCTATTATCACGAGATTTCTTAGAGTCGCGATTATTAGATCTATTAGAGTAGATTAAATATTTTAGATTATATAAGTAGCTTTTTAGGGGGTCTAATTAGGCTGCCGCACGCTGTAAAGTTGCCTCTACTACTATATCCTCTTCTACTAGCTCCTTATTAACCACCTTAGCTAGTATAATAGTAGGAGGCTTAAGGATTTACCTCTTGCCTATTTAGGACATTTTAATATTATTTTAGAGTTACTTTTCTAGTTACTTAGTAGTTTTCTGCTTGTTACGTGTAGTAGCTTTTTAGGCAGCTTTCTCCTCCTGCTCCTTCTTAGCAATTACTTAATTTAGGCAACGCTCCTCTATAAGTTAAGCTTTAGCAAGCTTCTATTACTTATAAAGCTTGATTACCTTGCTTTTTTAGTATTATAGCTTCTATTCTTTAAGGTTCTTTTACTCCTAGAGCTTAAATACTTGCTCTACCTTTAATAGTAAAATAAATTAGGTACTACTACTATAATTATTATTAGGGGGTAATAATAGAGGTTTACTACGCTTCCTACGCTTCTTCTTATTAGCTAGAGTAGCCCTTAGGTGTTTATTTTTATAGTTAAGTAGAGTATTTCTTACTAATATAGTGTAGATTATCTAGCTAAGCTTCTTTAACTGTTTATTATAGATATTAATTATAGTATTATAGAGTAACTACTCTATCTTTCTCTAATTGCTTACACTTAATATTAAGGTTATACTATTACTTAAAGAAGGCTAGTTACTATTATTTATAGGTACTTTAAACCTTAAAAGGATAATATTAGGGTTAAATAGTAAGATACCTGTTACTTTAAAAGCTATTAATATTAGCTTTTCCTTAAAGGTATTGCTCTATATAGTATTAAATAACTAGTAGAAATCCCTCTTAGTAATGCTCGTGAGCCCTTAGGAGCTATCTAGAAAACTAGATAGTTAAGCTTTATATAAAGCTACAAAGGGAGTAAATACTATAATATTAAGTAGCTAAAGGGTGTAAGTGCTATAAGGGGGATATATTATAAGTAGGATCTTGTATTTATTATAGTACTTAATAAACTCTATTATTACGTAAGATCTATAGCTATTAAGGATAAGGAGCTAGTATAAAGTATAAGCTTTAGCTTTTATCTTGTGATTAAACACCTCCTTAAGCTAGGATACCCCTAGGGTGTGGCTTGTCCACCTACTTAGTAATCCTACAAAGAAAGCTTAGTGTTATAATAGGTTAAAATCTTGTAACTAGGTATCCTATAGAGCTCTAGATTAGGACTAATAAATAAGGGTAGGGGTAAGAGTAGTACTATTAGCGCATATGCAAGCTATAGTAGTAATCCACTCCCTATTACTATCCTAGAGCATAGCTCTAATCTTTCTCTACTTATAGGCGCTCTTATTAAACACACGTTTAGTTTTTAATAGTACTCTAATAAGAAAACCCTTCTTATTTATATTATAGATATACTAACTCTTAATATTATATTGCTCTATTTTTTAGTATAAAAGCTTAAAGTATAAGCTATACTTAAAGGTAGAATTAGCTTTAAAGCAGTTACAATTAAGCCTAGTAGCCTAATAGGAGATAAGATTAATATTATAGTGGTTAATAAAGCGCTACACCTAATTTTTACCTACTAGATTCCCTATTATTTTAGTTACAAAATTTTAAATAATAGTCTATATAGGGGGTAATCCTTGCCTATAAAGCTCTTTAATATACTTTATAAGCTTACTTTCTTGCGTAGTGTTAAGTATTTAACTATTTAGTAGAGTAGTAGTGCGCGCCTACTAAATTTTCTAGTAGCGTCTAGACAAGGTTAACTACAAGTAACCATACTTTTCTGCTATTTCTAAGTATATAAAATCTTCTCTAAGAGTTAAGGATTTAATTGCTGCAAGCGCGTTGTTAATAGGTGCCATGGTTGTTAAGAAATTTAGTGTTGAAAATTTGGTGATTTTAGTGTTAGTGGGCGCTCGGTGGGGGTAGGCGCTTGGTGGTGGATCACGTTAGGGTTAGGCCGTGCCAAGCTCCACTAGCTAGCTAAGCAAGGTTAACCAAACATTATGCTGTAAGATTTTATAACGCGTTCTAAACCTATTCTAAATATATTCTATACTAGTAACACTATAAGCTACTACTACTATACCTATTACTAACACATCCCTTATATCCTATATAAGCAGATTAAAACATGTTTAGAATATATTCTTAATAGGTTATAGAAGCACTATTAATAGTACCTTGCCCTTAGCTATATCCTAGATAATATTAGGGCATAGCCTGTGGTTAGCCCTAATAGGGTAGTTAAGATAGAGAGTAGAGAGCGCTACTACTATACTAAGATTAATAATAAGGGCACCTTATATAGAGTAAGAATAGGTTCTAAACGTGTTCTAAACAGGTTCTAATATTCTTAGGCTATTCTAGGTACTAGGGGCACTCTATATACCTATGCTAAAAAAGATTATAGGCTTAATATAGCCTACTATAAGGTTAGTAAGGTTAAGAAGACTAGCTAGCCCTCTATAAGGGAGGTCTATAAGGTAAAGAGTAAATATATTATTAACCTATTCTTAACTTATTATACTAATATATATAGACTTCTATATAAAGGTTATATATAATTACTAGAATACTCCTTGCTATAAGTTATTTAGAATATATTTAAAACTTATTACTAATATATTTTATAGAAGTTCTCTAAGCCTAGCTAGTAGCTACTATAGGCCCCCCTATAAATACTAATACCCTCCTAAATATAATTTAGAAGAAGACTCGCACTAGCTATAATAATAATAAGGTATAGCCTGTAAGAACCTATTAAAAACACGTTACTAACTTGTTATAGCTTAACTTTGTTGCTATATCTACCCTACTAAGGATTTAAGGTTATTAGGTTCCTTATACTATCTATACTTATAATTATCCTAGTTATAGTAAGTTATTTATAATATATTATTAACCTATTCCTAATATATTTTAAGACTATTACTTTAATACTAGTGTAGACCTTGCTAATTCCTACTAGAATGCTACCTAGTTCTACTTGTAGTATGCTTTTATACAGCCTAGGGAGGATAGGGAGGATAGAGAAGATACTAGAGAGGGGGAGGGAGATAATAATAGTAATAAGTAGGAACATATTAAGAATATATTAAGAATAGGTTCTAATAAATAATATATAATAGTATATAACCTAAAAGGGTAGTAGTAATTACTAAAATAAACTCTCTACTCTTCTCTTTTTTTTTTTTCTATCTACTAAAAGTAAAGTACTATTTACTTTTATAGGGTCCTTTAATACTATATAACTTTTTCTTTTTACTTTTATAGGTATTATAAAGCTCTAGTAGTCCCTTAGATTAAAGAAGAATCTAGTATTTATAGGTGTCTAGCTATAATATATTATTAATATATTCTAAATATATTTTAAGAGACTAGACTTATATCTCCTTTTTGCTACTTTTGCTAAATATTATTTATAGTGTAAAGGGGAGTAACTATTTGCTTCTCTTCTTTACTCTCTACTTCCTCTTTAGCCTCTACTCTAGCTACTACTTCTTATTATAGACTAGCTATCTTAGAGGGTTCTTAAACCTTAGAGGAGGCACTTAGTGTAGTCTACTCTACTAGTAGAGAACGTATTATTAATATGTTTAGAACACGTTCTTAAGTATTTACTATTAAGCTCCTATAGAAGATCCTTGCTTCTATAATACCTTATATTGTGATTCTGCTATAGTTTACTAGGGCTATTTAAACCTTAGGATAATACCTCTTAAGGTAGTAGATAAGATTGCCTCTATTAGAGAAGCAACGCTAAAATAGTTATTAACATGTTATAAACATATTCTAACTTGTATGTATACATACTCTATAAAGTTCCTATACCCCTAATCTAGCCTAAATAGCCTAGTAGAAAAGCTCGCTAGAAAATACTATACACCTATTATTTAGGTAGGATATTATAGGAGAGAATACCCTAGTATTAGATAGAAGTAACTTAAGCTTAATATATTGCTAGTATAAATCCTACTTAGTATTAGAATAAGTTTATAACATGTTCCTAACGCGTTCTATTATATACTAACTTTAAAAGATCTTTATAGACTATATTAACTAGTTATATCTAATAATATTAGGAAAGATAGATAGTAAAATAGTATTAAACTCTTAAATATAAAAAGTTCTTATAGAGTGTAAGAAGAAAGAAAAAGAAAAAGAAGAAGAAAGAATATATATTTATCTACTTATATATACTTATATAATAGACTAGAATATATTAAGAACTAGTTAGGAACTAGTTACTATATTTATAGACTAACCCTACCTTATATAAAAAGTAGCTATCTCTTTCTTAAGTTTAAACTATACCTTTTGTAATTTAAATAGTGCCTTTTTCTATACAAGTTCTTCCTTATCTACCTCTAGCTTTTCTTTTCTCTCCTTTAGAGCCTAATTACTAAGAAGAGCCTTTTATTATAAAGTTTATAGTTATAGACTAATAATAAGTTAGGAACGTGTTATAAACGTGTTTTGCGAAGCATACCTTTAGGTTACTGTTAGTAGAGGAGAAGAGCCTAGTAGTAGAGAAGATAGAAAAGGGGCTAGTGAACTTCTTTCTAATACTACTCTACTACTTGCCCTCTAGCTTTAGGCTTTTAAGCGTGCTCTTTTATTTCTTATTAGGACTAAGATATATCTAGTTAAGTTAGATATAGTAAGACTTGCTTTATTATTATCTAGAGTATTATTATTATTATAGGACGTGTTCTAAATATATTCTAAATATATTTTAATTAGTAAATGTGTATAACGCTAGTGTAAGACTTACTTTCTCCCCTCTAAAGCTTTTTAAGGTACCTTTGCTTAAGCCTATTAGGAGTTCTATAGTTATAGTATATTCTAAACTTGCTCTAGGCTTTAAACTCTTTTATATCCTATAGATCTATCTAGTGTGTATTATATAATATTACTTATATAATTCTAACAGGTTAAGAATAGGTTATAAACTTACTTCTAAGTGGCCTTAAGAATACTTATATACTTACTAGTTTTATATCCTTTCTAGCCTACTTACTTAGCTATATTTAAATAAGATTCTAGTTTTTCCTATACCTCTTTTAATATTTTACTATAGTATTATATAATCCTAGTAGTAATTACTAGGTTTTTCTTATAGATTACCTAGTTTTAGGTATCTTTAGAGGGTTTGTGTTCTAATTATATAAGAATAAGTTAGGAACATGTTTAGAATAGGTTTAGAATATATTTACTTATGTAAGAGGAGGTTAGTAAGCTAAAAGTATTCCTCTACTATTAATACCTATAGTAATTTACTTAGACGTAAAGAGGTAGTATTATCTAGCTCTCTTTTATATACTTTATAAATACTTCTTTATAGATATACTTAATAAAATCTTATATAAGATTAAAGTTGCTAGCGCTAGTTACGCTTATAGGGATTAATTAACTAGAGATAGCGCCTAAGTCCTAGAAATAAGTTAGAAACACGTTACAAATAGGTTATAGTGCACTATAAAACTTGCCTATTATCTGCTTATTATATATATTAATAGTAGTCCTATAGAATCCCTATAAGTAAATATGCCTCTATAATACTTATCTTTTTATAAGTGCTTTATACTTCTAAAAGAAGTTAGTAATAGTAACTTAATATATCTTAGTTGTATCCTTATCTATAATAATTTAGCTAAGTATAATAACTATAATATATTAGAAACGTGTTATAAACCTGTTCTTAATGCGTACGCTTCTTTTCCTACAGGTAGAAGATTACTATTAGAATCTCTACCTATACCTTATACAACCTCTTATATAATATATCTATCTAGAATATGTCTTAATCTAATAGAATTAATGCCTACTCTTTAAAAAGGCAAATAATTAAGTTACCTAAGCTTAATATAAAGATTTGCTGTATATACGCCTGTAGTAACGTATTAGCAACGTGTTCTAAACCTGTTCTCTTATACTATATATAGTTTTAGGATCCTAATACTTTATCCTCTACTTATAGTATACTCCTCTAAGGCTACTCTTAAATAGGAACTATAGAAGCTTTTTACACTTTATAATATATAAGATTTTATCTTTATTTATAAAGCTAATATATATTTCTTTAATAGAATAGAAACCTTTAAGTTAGAGATAGGTTTAGAGCTAGGTTAAGTTTAGGAACTAGGCTATAATAAGTTAGGAACACATTTATAATAGGTTATAAATAACTTATATTACGTAAGCTATAGAGTAAGCATAGGCTATAACACCTTTACTACTTCCTTAATATTACTATTAGATAGTATTAAGGGAGGAGGAGGTATATATATATATATACTAAAAGAAATAATAGTAAAAAAAGGTATTACTACTATATCTATTAGTATAATTACTTAGAAGGTAACTTTACACAGGATTTTAAATAGAGATCCTTGCCCTTGTAGATAATTAATGCCTAGAACATGTTAGGAACGTGTTAGGAATAGGTTATAATATGCCTACTACACTTCTTTATCTAGCTTAACTATAGCTTAACTACAGAATATAAAGCAGGACTACTAGAAAGATTTAATATCTCCCTAGTTAGAAGACCTTATAGATATATAGAGTCTACCTCTAGTAGTACCTAACTAAAATAATGTTTTTTCCTAGTAGTAGATATTAGGCTATAGTTCTAATAGCTAATATATAGTTAAGCCTATTCTATAATTTACTAACTTGTTATTAATACGTTTTAAATATATTTAAGTTTTGCTCCCTACCTAATTTACTATAGTCCTTATTATAGGATAATAAGACACCTAGTAGTCCTTATAAATTCTTAAAGAGAAGCGCTTAATAAGGCTATAATAATAGCTTCTTATTTATAGTTCTCTTTATAGAATTTTCTTAAGTACTATACTTTTTAAGGTTTAAATCTAATTATATAATAGGTTATTAATAATATAATAAGAATACGTTTATAACGTGTTCTTAAGATACTTACACACTTTTACCCTAGAGTATTAGTATTTATACTAGCTTGCTAGCTAGCTATTAAAGAATAGTAAAGTTGTAGGCCTATTAAGATAGATAGACTAGCAGGAGTATTATACCTGCTAGAATTAGAATAATTTAAGAACGTGTTCTTAACGTGTTACCTATATAGCCTATATAAGCACCTCTTCTCTTATTAGGTAAGAGCTATCTTTATATTGCTAAACTAGTATTATATACCTATACCCTTAGCTATATAATTAAGGGTATACTAGGAGAATAGCTATATACTTAATAATTGCTAGTATAAGTAGTAGTCCTTAACTATTACTATAAGTAAGGTATATATTATGCCCCTATAATATGTTACTAACCTATTCTAAACTTGTTCTATTTACTTTTACTTACTTCCTTAATACTACTACTACTATCCTCCTTTAGCACTTTATATAGTTACCTAAATTTATCTTTAATATTACTATCTAGTTTAGATATATTATCTAGTACTACTATACTAAACTCTAGTATAGTATTTAGGAACGCCTATATATTATTAAGAATAGGTTTAGAACATGTTTAAAAAAGATAGTAATAAAAACTACATTTACTTGCTTAAATTATCCTAATTTATACTTAACTATAGGCTAGTTTATATAACTATAAAAATTTGCCGCTGTGACGTGGACTTGAACCTACAGGGATATTCTAACCACTCGGAGTAAAGCCCAAGTCGCCTGACGCTAAACCTATGGTTATATGACATGCCACCACCCCAGCTGTGTATCCAATACATCCAAGGTGCATGTACTAATCTGAAACAGTAGGAATGGGGTGGTGAGGGCGACGGTGGAGAACGCTAGTGATGACGTGCATCACAACGTGGTACACTACCACAGTACCTCATCGCAACTCTGTTTCGACGACACCAAGAACTCATTCAACGCGAGTGTATTTTTGCCAAAAAAAAATCATTGATCGAGTAATTACGAGCTAGTTTAGTCTCTCATTTGGTGGTTGTGACATGTCAAATCTGACGATATCAAGGTGTATATAGCCACGGCTTCTTGCCCCCCTGCCCGCTCCATCTTGCCAGCAACCTCTTATTATACCACGCATACACGCCCACCTGCACCATCGCAAAAACCATGCCCACCGCCACCATCACAACCTGGATCCTCAATCCCCGACTGTAGAACGGCACGTCATCCGCACGGTAATACTGCGTGCCCACCATCAATCCCGACATGGCGCTCATGACCCACATGGCGATGCTAATGCTACGTTCCCGCGGGTCGCGACAGTTTAGCTGGACCCACGAGTTATGCACGGGGTGGTAACCAATGGCAAATGCATTCACGGCTGTCCAGAGACCCCAGCGCGACCACTTTCCCACATGTGGATGTAGGGCATGGGTGAGGATTAGGATGAGGAGATAGAAGGTTTGTGCGATGAGGACGGCAAGACCGCGCTTGTTGGTTTTGTCGGAGAGCCAGCCGAAGAAGAAGACGATGGGGAGGGCGAGAAAGCCGCCTATGCTTGCGAGAGCGTTGGCCTCGATGCGACTGAAGCCTAGTGAGAGGATGATGCTGGGTGTGTATGTGGTGAGGGAGGACCATGTGGAGAAGACTGCAAAGGTGGAGATGAATGAGGGCCAGCGGCGGTAATGCTTGACTGTCTTCCAGACGATATATGGTGGGATCTGCAGACTTTGTGCACCAGGCTTGCGCTCTCCATCGTCGGCTTCAAGGCGGTGTTGAAGTGCTTCGCGCTCACTGTCTGTGAAGCGAATCAGGCCTGGCGACCATAGGGGCCGAGCCTCATCCGGACTGCCTGGCAGCAGAAGAAGCAGGATGACCGAGACTACCATGGTGAATATACCCTCCACTGATTCATGTCAGCACTACGCCACCACCTTTACTTCAATGTAAGAAAAGCACTTACGCAGAAACAACCACTGCCAGCCTCTCATTCCTCCGCGGCCACGCAACTTCAAGATCCCACTCGCCAACAACGGACTAATCGCATTACCACCAAACATACCGAAGAAAAACACAGCCACACGTTTTGCCAGCTCTCGCCTCGTATACCACATGGATAATGTATAAATACCCCCCGGAATATACCCAGCCTCACACAAGCCCAAAAAAGCGCGCGCCAACAAGAACCCAGTCTTGTTCCGCACAAACACCTGCAATGTTGCCACGAGCCCGAATATGAAGACTTGGGCGGCCATCCATGTGCGTGGTCCCATCTAGTCTTGCGTTAGTGAACTCGCACGATTTGCTTCACTAGTGGCAGGGCGAGGTGCGTACTCGTTGCAAGAGCATGTTCGATGGTATCTCCAGCACCACGATACCCAGGAACATGAGTTGATTACCTAGGTTAACCGTATCTTGGTCTATACCGACATCCTGTGCAAACCCGTCTGTGAGGGCGCTGCCCAGGTTCATGCGGTCGAGCTGGAAGACCAGCAGGCCCAGGAACAGTAGGGGGAGGACGGTCGCGTCAACCCTGATTTGAATCAACGCCTGAGATGGAATTGAAGAGGATGTTGGGACAGCTTACTTTCGTTTAGCGCGGAGGGTTACACCGTCGTTGGTCAGAGTCGTCACTTCACTTCCACTCGAGTCGCACACGTCGCTTCGTGCAATAGGTAACCCCGGTTTTCCCTCAACATCAGCCATTTTCCGGATCCTGTGCACACAGACGAGCTTGAGGACTCTGCTCTACAGACTACAACACATGCATGGGTTATAAACGCAATTCTCCTTTCTTCTCATCCACCCAATCCATCCTTAAGGCGTCATCCACACCCCAAATTTCGCACTCCCACCCGTCCAAGTCGTCATCCTCCCCATCTTCCACCCCACCGAGCCACAATACCCACACGTACACACTACCTCCCACTACCAATACGAGAACCGCCTTTCCCAACCCTTGCCCACCCACTCATGCAGCCTGGTGAATTCCCCATCGAGAAACAGCAAGGGTAAGTACAGGGAGGCCGCCAATGTCGACATCCCCAACCCTCATGTCGACATCAACGCCCTCATGTCGCAAACTCGCGACGTCCAAGTAAGAAAGCAAGAGGCGCCGAGTCTAGCAGCGCTAATTGGGAAAAGAGGGCGCGCTGATAGGTCGGGGCCTCGGTGCGGACTCGGTGGTATAATTACTAAGACGCACTTCGGTGGCGGAGATGCCGCGGAGTAAGTTGGTCTGGTGCTGCGATAAGAGGGATGCCGACTGGGTATAGGACACAGGAACTGAGTATGTTTTAAATGTGAATCCCCCTTGCTGCTCCCTTTGTCCGGGGTGTGAATCGCAGGCTGGGATTTTTTTCGGATGCGAGGTTTTTTTTGGAGTATATATATGTTTGGCTGACGTCGCGGTGAAGATTTCCAGTCGGATTACTTGTACCGGTACAGAGCACAATTTACAAGTTGCATACAAGAGACGAGGAAAGACAAAAACATGGGAATCAAACGAGTCGCCGTAATCGGTCTTGGGCCCGGCGGTGCAATCACCATCGACGCACTTGCTCGAGAGCAAACCTTTGATCGGATCCGGGTCTTTGAACGACGAGAAGCACCAGGTGGATGCTGGTAACACTCTCCATTTCCTTGCAGCATCCACCATCCTCCCCCTCCCCTTGCCCACCACAAACAAAACAAACCCCATCATGCAAATCAAACAACCCCAAACTCACACTCACACACCCACAGGCTCGAAGACTCAACACCCCCACCCCCCATCCTCTTTTT